ACTTTAAGATGTGTGGACTTCAACTCCCTGCATGGCATGCTATCTGGGGAATTCTGGGAGTTGAAGTCCACACATCTTAAAGTTGTTGAGAAACATTGGGTTAAACTATGAAATCTTTCCTACAAACCTCTAAACCTGTAGGCAACACAGAGCAAAGGAAGTTGTTTCCCTCTTAACATTTTGATAGTATTAGCCAAAATCTTGTTTCAATAGCCTGATGATTATAAGGAAAAAAAAGAGTATCAGAAGAATGGATTTATTTTCATTTTTATTTTTAAAGAGAGTGAAAGGCAGCCTGTAAAGTTAAGAAGAAAAATATTCTCTCCCTCTCATGCTGAAAATAAAAAAATAGTTTTAAAACTAAAAATGGCTACATGTATATGCACCTTATTTTTATATGTACTATACTATGAAATTATTTAAACAATCTTTAAACACAATTCTGAAAACACAGAAAACAGATAAAGCAAGATAAAACAAGTAATAACTGTAGGAGCAGCACTGCTGGTTATGTTTCTAGGGCTTAAGCTTACTTTTCTAGGAGACAGTTTTGAACTTTACAAGTTTCTAGATCTATTTTCTTTCCATAGCTTTACTATTTCCATCATTTCAAGGCAAGGGTTTTGTGTTCCTTAACAATATCATCCAGATTCTTGAATGCAGAGTGAGGAGCTAGAAAAAAGTATCAGTGAAGAAAAAAAGTTTCCCATATCTTAATTATTTATAAAGGAATTAATACTGTTAGAGGAAGAGCACTTTCATTTGCAGAGTATTGTCTCATAATTTCCAGACTTTTGCTCTGTTCTATAAAATTAAAATTAATCTTTACTCTAGCCTGTTCAAAAGGAGTTCCATCCTGGTTTTTCTAGGTCACAGAAGGATAATAATCTAAAAGGGCTGTGCAGCTTTAGCCATCATGCCATTGGCTGAAAACGTATATTCAGCAGAATAGTCTTCCGTAGCACACATGCAACCACTTGTCTCTGATATTCAGCTAAGTGATGAGAATTTTACCACACATTTACAGCCCGTCAGGAAGCTAGGGAATAATAAAAATCTCCATATCACTTGGCAAGATATCACAGACAATCTACTTTTCAAGTGGTTGCATACACACATTGTGGTAAGTTGCCATTAAGTCAGTGGTGGAATAGGGTCAGTCTAGCTTTTACTGACCTTGAGCCAAAGAAGAAAACATTTTGCCTGTATCATTATATAATAGAGCATGATCCAAACCAACCATGGAGTTGTTGGATTAAGCTTCTTTTCCTAAGGTCATGACTGAATTCCATGGTTCCTTATTTTTCCTACATACTCCATGTTTTGCCTCACTTGACAACAGATTGCTTTCTAATGCCTCTTCTATCCTGTCTTTTCTGTTGAGCAGTTGATCAGCCAACTTGTGAAAATAATGTTATGTTAGCCAAAACAGATCTAATTTGCCAAGGATGTGGGGAGCAATGTTTATCATCTACCATGCCAGCCCTAGATGACCTCAACTTCTCACCAGAGTTTAAACAAAATATTTTAAGAGGAGAAAAATAATGGGACCTTGTCTGTATTCACAGATCTTTCATAAGGATGTGAGCTATCTTCATGACTAATACAAATGATAGCAGATGGTGTGGGAGACAGTGAAATATAGCCCAGCTGTATAGCTATTATTTTTCATTATTATTAAAGGGAGGGTCTTAATTCCAGTCTAGGAACTCGAAACATTTGAACTCTACCCAAAACTTTCATTTTTTCAGCCAGAAATACAGCTTCAGAGATATGTAGCATGATAGCCTTACACATGAAAAATAAATAATTATAATAATAATATTACTTTCTGCCTAGCGTGAAAAAAAAAGTTGTTTGATCAATGTGGAAAATTCCGTACTTGATACAACTGCCTCTATTATTCTTAAAAAGTCAGTGGGAGATATTTGTGTCTCTTGTATGGAAGTCAGAGAATGTCAACAACAAACAAGACAATGAAGATTTATTCATCTAAAGTAGGAATCGTATCTACAATATCTTGGGAATAAGTCCTACTGAACTCAGGTTATTAGTGCCAAATAACTTTCATAAGACTGTGCTGTTTTTGAGGTACTGTACAATGTGTCACGGTCCCTTAAGAACTACTAGTAAGATGGCAGTCCCTGAATGAAATGCCCATCTGACAAAGTGGCAAGCAACTCTTTGTTCACTTTCAAATCCTAACAGGGATATAGACTATCTTTCGGAGCTGTTTTCAAGAAACACTGAGGCAATCTCCATGCAATGCCATGAAGCAATGGGCAATGCAAGTATTGTAGCTAGCCATAAACAAGCTGTCTCCGTGTGTAGACAAAATTATGGAGCAATATGATAACACACTATGAGTTTTATGATATTTTATTTGGTAGTCTCATTCTTGACACACATAAGAATATTTAATCTTATATTTCTTTAAAATAAAAGCCAGGTTTTCAGCATTGTAGTCTGCAGATTCAAAGTGAAGCAACCTATTATATACATAAGGGTGTTTCAAAATCTAGTTCTGGTATGGCTGGCTCATAGCTTTGGAATTTCTTAAGCTGACACCAACAATGAACTTGCAGAATCTTAAACACGCAAAAAAAAAATTGGCATCTTTTAAAACTTATTGCTATATTCCAGCTGCACCTTGATACTTTGCTTTTTAATTGGGAAATTTTGCTCTTCAACTTGTTTGGCTCCCAACAACACTATCAAAAAGATGCATGCTGTTTTGACCTGGGATGCTGACCTGGAATAATTCTGTGTCTAAGCAGTACACCAATTGCTTAGCAATGTCCTGTTCTTTAACCATTTTGTATATATCTGGATTTCAGTATAAGATCAACATGTTAGCAACTCAGAACACATCTAGACTCCCACGAAGTTTCAGTTCCTGTTGAAAGAAACATTCAGAATCTTAACATATGAAAACATTTGCATGTTCTACTTGCTACAACATCAGCTAGAAAAAGTGAGGGCTGAAGAAAGGTTGATAGTAGAATGCTCTTGAATTAAATACGTACTAAAAAGAAAATATTGTTCTTAAAAAAAATCTGGAATACTATAGTTGGATTTTACAGTATTAATTTGCCATGGACAAATCATGATAACATAGGCATGTGTATTTGTCTATTAAAGGCAAAACCCATGCATTCTCTATGCAGAGGAGATTGGTCTAAGATAATTGATCTCTTTTCCTTTTCAAATACCAAGGGATCTATGTATTTCAATAAGAAAGGAGCCAAACAATTATTTGCATGTTTCTTCTTGTCATTATACTTTCCAAGGGCTCTTGGTGCAACCTAATATCATGGCTGTATCTGAAAGTGCCCAGTTGGCATTGCCATAAAATTATTTCGAAGTGTAAGACTATAACCCAGTAAGGACATTCTTTAAATGCCAGTCACATTTCACCCCTCTCCTTCAGCTTTGTTTCCTCAATTTTTAATCAAAGAATTGTAGAGTTAGAAGGGACCACAAGGATCATCTTGTCCAACCTGCTGCAATGTGCAGGAAATCAGTTAAACCAGCCATAAAAGATGACTGTCCAACTTCTTCTTAAAGTCATTCAGAGAAGGAGAACCACAACTACCATAAGTAGACTTTTCCAGTGTTGCATACATCTTACTGTCAGGAATTTTTTCCTTATTTAATCTCCTTTACATGAAGTCTATCTAGCTGCAACATATACCAGAAGGTTATTTCTTGTCCTAGTTTCTCTGGCCATGGAAAATAGTTCTTGACCATCTTTCCTGTAGCTTTCCTTTATATATTTAAACAAGACTATCATATCTCCCCTTGTTTTCTCTTTTCCAGGTTGAATATCCCAGGTTCCTTTAGCTTATACTCATATAGCGTGTCCTCAAGTCCATGTCTCATCTTTGCTGCCCTCCTTTGAATCCTCTAACCACTCAGTACAGTATTCTTCTGGAAATGTGATGCTTATAACTGTATACAGAACTCAAGGGTCTCTCCTGTGCTGAGGAGGATAATAGCTTCATGTGTCTTTGATACAATGTTTCTTCTAATGCAGCTCAGAATTGTATCATTCCTTCTACCAGATTCACACACTCCTGAATTATTTTAGTTTGTTGCCAATGACCACACCCAAGTCCTTCTCGGATAGTGTTTCCAAGCCATGAATCCCCCATCCTGTATGTGTGTCCTACATTTTTTTCTGCCTGAATGTAATACCATATATTTATTCCTGTTAAAGGATATTTTGTTCCTCTCAACCCACTCTTCCAACCTGTCCAGATTAGACTGCAATCTTGTTTTGCTGTCCTGTGTGTTGTTTAGACCTCCTAATTTTGTAACATTTGCAAGTTTGAGAAGCAGCCTGTCAATCCCATCCTTATTAATAAAACTGTTGAATTGAACTGAGCCCAAGAAAAATCCCTGCAAAAACCCACTAGTTAATGCTCTGGAACCTGATGTATAGCTATGAATGCTGACTTTCTGAGCCTAGTTAGCCAACCATTTGTGGACCCACTTTATGATAGTGCTATCCAAATCACACTTTAACAGCTTGACAATGAGAATATCTTGTGGAATTAAAGATTGATTAATAAGCTTGTTAACAAACTTTAAAATGGTATTGCTTATATATATGGATTTCAAAATATTTCCTTTTTAAATCTTTCTGTATTGCCATTGCAAAGCATTTTATTGTTGATTATTGTCTTGTTAACTAGATAAATTTGTCTCTTATCTGTCTGAATGCAACTGTATTTATAACCTTGAATTGCTTCATTGTTGGTATATTTTAATTTATTTTTATGCATTGTAAAAAGTGGGATCCAAAGAATTAGACAAATGTGTATGCACAGGAAACTGCAAAGCAGTTTATGCCAGACTGAGAAGGAAAATCAAACGCTTTAATGAAGTCTGTAGTTTTTCAGCTGCCTATTCATTTCATTCATTAATAGCCATTAGATGTTGAATGAAATATTAACTGAGTTCTGTTGACTTCACAGACATTCTTCCTATTTCTACAGGTACATTGGGGCCCTGGGCACAAGGGTGATCTGTGATAACATCCCGGGACTAGTCAATAAACAGCGGCAGTTGTGCCAGAGTTACCCAGATATTATGCAATCCATAGGGGAGGGAGCTAAGGAGTGGATCCGGGAATGCCAGCACCAGTTCCGTCATCACCGTTGGAACTGCAGCACTTTGGACAGAGACCACACAGTCTTTGGCAGAGTCATGCTCCGAAGTAAGTCCCCTTATCAGCTCAGTGATGCTAATGCAACATGAACTCCTCTCTCTCTGTATGTGTACTTTCTTTCTCTTTCTTTGAAATTGCTTTGATTTTACATCTGAGATAAAAATGTGGGGATGCTGCATTGCTTTAATTTTGTTCTTGGGCACAAAAATCCCATAACAAGTACTGTAGGTCAACAGCCCAAACTGGTCATTCTTCTTCTTCTGTCTTCTTCCACTGACAATAAGATGGCTTTATTGAACCAGGCTTTCTCAGAATACTTTTCCATCAGTGGTCATCCAGATGCTTTGGATAAGCTCACAAACAGGTCATGATGGGAAGTACCCTCCTCTACTTTCTTCTTCCAGCATCTGTTAAGGTATATGTCTACAGAATGTATAGGTTTCATTAGGACATACTGTACAAAGTATCTGTTGAGAAATTTGTGCTCTGTGAATTCTAACCCTTTTAGAAAGCCCTTAAAGCTGGTGATCATTAGAGAGAAAAGCCTGATTAGGTATAGCCACACATTTGTAGCAAACAAAGAGATAAAAGTTGTGAAAGAACAGCCAGTTCTATCTGACTACAGAAATACAATGATGAATCAGTGGCAACCATATCACAGCAGCTTAAATCAGCTCATAAGCTCAACTCTTTTCAAAAGTATGCAGAATTGTAACAGATCTAGACTATAGCACACAAATCCAATCAGGACTACTATAGAACAGCTTATGAACAACTGATTATTGTTTCCAACCTTTTTAGCCATGTTTGAACAGAAAAAAGTTATTTAAAATCAGCAAACCACAAGACTTAGCTAACAGTTGATTCTAGTTAAACAGCATCAATACTTATAGATTCAGATATTGACTTGCTACAGTTTTTAAGGCACAGTTGGCATGGGCAGGTTCAAACTGAAAATAAATTTCCCTGGAGTTGGTTATGTTTATCATGTTGGTAATTTTCCTAGCTTTAAGGAAAGGCTTGCAGCGTGGTGGAAAGGTTTTTGCAGTGAGGAATTATGCCTGTTTACTCAGATGTCCTATTATGTTCAGTAAGATTTACTTCCATGTAGGACTACAACCTGCTTGTAGCAGGAAATGGCACAACTTCTTTGAGGAAAGGACTTTTCTCATTGCTTAATATATGTGATTGGCAGCAAGGTTTATCACTGGTTTGTTTACAGGTTTATAGAGTTTATAAATTGCAAAATACTCTTGAACATGTTAAACATCAGAGCTTGGAGTAGTTCTCCAAGATTCAAATAAAGTGTGTTCTTTATTTAGTAGATTTGATTATATGATTGCAAGAACCTAAGTTTTAATATTTGAGATCAACACGAAGTTAATGATTGGACAAGTTCCCTTCTGAATTCTAATCCCAAGATACGTGGAATGCACCAGATTTGGAAAAAAGTGGCATGCGCATATTTGCTCCAATCCATCAAGTAGGCTTTATTCAATTCACCATTTTGACTGGTAGCCCACTTTTCTACTCAGCTGAGCACTCAAAATAACTGGCAAGAATTAAAATACAGAATACAAAACAAAAATTAAAAACAAATGCAAACATTAAGTTAACTTTAAAAGCCTAGCAAAGGAGATGGCTCTTGGCTGCTCTTCTTAAACCAGAGAACGTGGGGAGGAGCCCTTTTCCCGTTCTACTTTATGTATGATTAAAAACAAACCAAACAATAATGACAGCTAAAAGTCTAATCGTCTTAAAAAATGCAACCGGAAAGGAGAGAGACAAAATGTTGATTAGAAAGCTAAGGGAAGTGGAGATAAGAAGTCTTGTAGCACTGCCCCATCTCCACAGTCAAGAAAGTCAACTGTTGAAGGCAAACTCTGGAGTCACCCAAGCTACTGCAAAAAGCCATGCCACAGAGCTGACCACCCCGTGTTGGGGGTTTTTAGGTCTGTCCTCAGTATTAATATAGTTTTCCTATTTTTGTTTTAAAGCATGTATTGGGTCATGAGCAGAAAAAGATATTTCATTTCAAAATGTGAAGAATGGGAGTATTTTGGATTATCCCCACTTTCACAGCCTTCACGCCTGAAAAAATGTACACATATGCTTTTTTATCCTAAACATTTCTATGGAAAATAATGCATATCTTCATGCCATCATTTGCATGTTCAGAATAACGTGGGATGACGATGTAGTCACACTGTGTAAAGGTTGTTTAATAGAAAGAACACCTAGAAACAGTGGTCTCCTTACATCTCATTGCATTTGTTTCAGATATTTGATTGTTGTCAGGTAGGCTGTTGACAAAATAGCTTGGAGCTGGGATCCACAAAAGCTCAGCTTATTTCTAGCTTTAACCTGAACTCTTTTTCTTATTGCTGTCCATGTCACACTTGCACCAATGAAAAGTACTTCTTTTGACACAAGGTGATTAAGAAGCAGCTGCTGATTCAACTATAAATGTTTTGGGGAAATAGTCTCAGGTTCAGCCCAAGAATCACACGAGACAGTCCGGAAATCAGCTCAGCTTCTTTATTTGCTAGCACCTAAGAGACAGAATCTCGCCAGACTAACTCTAATTCCCCAACGAGAACAACTGTAATCATCAAACCCTTAGGGAGGGGCCAGTCTCTTCCTTCTTACTTTCACACAGTCAAGCTGGGGGCTGAGGGGATGCTTGGAATGTCACTTCCCCCTCCCTGTAACCTTGAAGCTCCATTCCAGAATCCTCCCTGCTCATGCCTTCCATCACAAATAGTGATGATCTAGATCTCTTCCAGTCTGAGTTCTGGCCCAGTTATAGGACAGAATCGGTCTTGACTGCCCTGATGGAGAGGGAATACCACTCTCTTACTCTTACTTGATCTTCAGCAGTTTTTAATACCATCAACCCTTGTAGCTCTAAAACAGCTTCTGCCCCTATCTGCAGGGCATTTTTGAGAGAATAATGTTGGAAAACTATAGAACAGCTTTCTAACAGGCTTGGTAACAAGACACAGTTGGGTGTGATCATTAGGGGATCTGAAGGAAAATGTCTCTCATATATTGATAACACTATATATCTCTAGAGCAAGACAACCTAGACCACAGCCTAAATTGATGCTTGAATAGACTGGCGGGGGCTGCATGAAAACTTAAGCTGAACTTGCATCCTGAGAATATGGAAGAGGGAATGTGCTTTCTAAATCCAGAAATGCGGGAATTCCCTGCTATGGTTGGAGGTTCACACTTTAGGGGTGCTCCTAGAGAATCTCCTTCAAGCTTAGGCTATAGATCAGCTGCACCGTTTCTGGACAGAGATAATTTGCCATGATTAGTCATATGTTCGTAATCTAAAGATTGCAGTGGGTCTGCTTTTGGGACTTATCTCGAAGCTACAATTATGCAGAATACAGAAGCTGGGTTCCAGCATAGGGTTGTTACGATGTTGATATTACACCTGTGCTAAAAGATCTACACTGGCTGCCAATCTGCTATTGAGCCACATAAAAAGTGTTAATATTTTATTTTATTAAGTGCATAAAGCTCTAAACAACGCTGGGACCTTAAAAATTCCCCAAGTATGTCAGCCTCTTAGGATCTTGGCTGCAGTGCCAAAATTAGTTTTTCCATGGTGATTTCTGTCTGGTGATGTGACCTCCCCTTCAGTGCTGACATGTTCTCTGTGTCTTTTAAAAGCCTACCTTTTCATGCAATCCTTCTCCAGCCATAATTCCCACTAAAGTTTTTATTTTAAGGTTTCTTTTCATCTTGTACTTAATTCAGTTTTACTTTGTTTTAGTCTGGAATCTCTTTTGAAATTATTGTAAACCACTTCTGGAACTTCTATAATGAAAAGCAGTATAGAAATATTTTAATAAATGATAAATCTTTTAAAAAGATATATGTTAATTATTTTTTTCTCTGCTGCTTCTGCGGCTAAGTCATGGAGTCTTGCTTTAGTTATAGTCTATAAGTGACAAAAGTCAGGGAATATTCTGTAAGCCAGTGTTTCTCAAATGTGGCAGCTTGAAGATATGTGGACTTCAACTCCCAGAATTCCCCAGCCAGCATGGGTAATTGTTGTAAGCAATAAGCTACATAGATTTAGGATGCTTGGGTTGGAGAAATGAGGAGATAGCCACGTTGGTCTTGCCTTCTGTTCCAGTGTTTCTCAGCCTTGGCAACTTGAAGATGTGTGGATTTCAGCCTCCAGAAATCTCCAGCCAGCATGCTGGCTGGGGAATTCTGGGAGGTGAAATTCACACATCTTCAAGCTGCCAAGGTTGAGAAACACTGCTCTGTTCTGTTAGAAAAGAAACCTCCCTGGTTTCCCTTAAGGCAGACAAAATGTCCCATTTGCTTTGAATGGATCTGATTATACGTAAGCTGTGCCTGCAGAATACAGCGGTGTGTTTTTGATTTGTTGTTGCTTTTACGACCATTGTAAAAGCAGGTGCAAACAGAAAATATTAGGCAGTAGCCTGTGCTATATGGGGACTTGCCAAACAATTTAAAGTTTCTGGCAGAAGTACTTCTCTGTATGTTTTCCCAAACACCTCTCCCCCCCATTCATCCCTGCCAGTCAACTGATTGGGATGAGATGGGACAATAGTTGCTCAGACTCATGGGATACACGGAGAATAGTGTGAAACCAAGCAGCTTCTGCAGTGATAATAAACAAGCAAGAACCCCCCTTGAAAACTGTAATATTAATACTTTGAAGATACAGAGCCAACGATGGCCTTCCTCCCACAAGATGCCCTTCAGATTTGTTTGGATTACAATTCTGGAATTTATGACGTCTTCCCAACCCATCTGAAAGGCATTAGGTTGGGATAGGCTGATATAGAGGCAACACAATTTGAAACAACTAAAATATCCATTCCAATGCATAAAAGGAAAAGGAAAAGGAAATCTTAAATTGCTTGGCCAGAACCTACCTTCTGATTAGGACTCACATCCTTGAATGTTAAGCTTTTTTTGTAAGGTAGTACATAGCTAAGAAATCCCGTTTGTTTGTTTGTTTGTTTGTTTGTTTGTTTGTTTTTGGCATTCTCTCCAGAGGAGCTTTTACAATAACTTGGCTTTTGTCCTCCCTGAGTTAGTCCAGTTCTAATCCTTGTTTAGATCCAGAAAATATTTTAGATTATTTGCTTGGTATGCCTTATTTTAGCTACTACTAGAATATGAACTGATGGTTCATTGACAATAGCAAGCATTACCTCAATTATGCTTTAGCTGGTGAAATGAGCATTTGTAGTGTTACTGTTGTGTCATATTTTTAGATCTCCTAAAAATGTCCTTTTGCAATTAGTAGCTTAATTTTTCAGTCTTTGCTACCTAAGAGCCTTTACTTGGAAGTGAACGTGGATGGGGAAGGCTTTACTTTTCAAATATGTGTTCTACTGTTGAGGTATATATGTCTTCCAAATGACTGATTCAATCATCCACTATTCTCTTAGTTTGGCATGTAAAGATAAAACATCACGTGTGCATAGTTTTTTTATTTCTAATCCACCCAGTTATTGGGCAGATTAAAAATACCATAAGACACCCAAACAATACACAAGTATATGTGCTCTTTTCAAAACCTCCCAGCAGTTTCTTGACTCACTCCATTTTTATTTCTTTGACCTACATGGCAGGTAGTAGAGAAGCAGCCTTCGTCTATGCGATCTCCTCAGCTGGAGTTGTATATGCCATTACCCGGGCCTGCAGCCAAGGCGAGCTAAAAGCCTGCAACTGTGATCCCCATAAGCGGGGGCGCTCAAAGGATGAGAGAGGGGAGTTTGACTGGGGGGGCTGCAGTGACAACATCAACTACGGCATAAAGTTTGCAAAGGACTTTGTGGATGCCAAAGAGAAGACAGTGAAGGATGCCCGCGCTCTAATGAATCTGCATAACAACCGCTGTGGCAGAACGGTTAGTAACGCCAACCTTAGGATGGAGGCAGACAACTTTTTTTGTAGCATAGGGTTGAGACAGACAGACAGACAGATAGACAGACAGATAGATATGGCATCTAAAAGCCACAGAAGGGTTGACTAGTCAGCATCACAAGCAGATGGATTGAGCTGAACTTTTTTTTTTGATGGGTTTGGTAATTAAAATGAATAATCGGTACACTGAAACTTGTGAGAAAGGTGAAAATGGCACAAAAGAAGGACTAACAAAGTAGTTTTACTGCTAAAGCCCACTAGTATGATGTGGGAGTACTGTGAGGGAGGAACAAATTGCCCAACTGGGTCTTAGGGACTAGATAGCAGAGAATACAACCATTCCTATATTATTCCTTTATGCTCCTTAGCATTTTATAATCAACCACTAAGAACTCTTCAGGCAACAAGAAATACCAGCATCTCCATTTTCACAAAGGCCTAGGAATTTGTTACTAGGACATCTGACTTCTTCAGATTCTTAGCCACATTTGAGGAACTTTCAGTTCACTTTGATTAAAAGGTCTGGTACTATCAGTGTCTAAATAGAAGGAAACAAAACAGAGAAAGAGGAAGAGACAGCTCAAGGCAATACTTCAGTTCTCTAATTTTTTATGGTGTAGTACTGCACCAGATCTCACACAGACACACAGACCAGATTGGCAGTTTTTAGCTCCAGTAGCTGGAACTTCAATAAAGCCAATATAGGATATTTATTCCATCCTGGCAATTATTACAGAAAATCTCCTTTCATTGAAGTACTGATCGATATACCTTCCAGCAGAAGCATTTTTGTGAGGTCGCCAAAGGTCACCTTGATTACCTTTCCGTTAGAATGATTCTCAGCTCTAATTGCCCAGATAGAGATGTATCACAAAACAGCAGCTGTAAGTATTGTTCATAGATAGATCTAGAAGGTCATTATTGTAACTAGCAAAATCTTCTAAGTGGAAATACCCAATCTAAGAAACAAGGCAATATCTCTCAGAAACAGAAGCAGCCACCCTGAGTTTTACTAAAGCAATTTTTGTCTGTTCCATCTTAGATTTGATACCAAACCTTCTATTTCAGGCTGTGAAGCGTTTCTTGAAACTAGAATGCAAATGTCATGGCGTAAGTGGTTCCTGCACCTTGAGGACTTGCTGGTTGGCAATGTCAGACTTCCGCAAAACTGGAGATTATCTCCGGAAAAAATACAATGGTGCCATCCAAGTGACTATGAACCAAGATGGCTCTGGATTTACCGTGGCCAATAAGAACTTCCGGAAACCTACAAAAACCGACCTTGTGTATTTTGAGAACTCTCCTGATTATTGTGTGATGGATAAGTCTGCAGGTAAAACAATATTTTGAAATGTTGCTTACATTGGCCTTCCCAGTTTTAGTGCCTGCCCTCCAGAAGGGCAGACTTCAATTTCCCAAATTTTCAACAATGACGACAAAGTTTGGGGAATGCTTGAAGTTGAGATTCGCACATCTGGAGAGTATCCAGTTTGGGAAAGGGGGTAGGAGTAGGAAGTATCCCTTGTCTTCAGAATTCCTATCTGCATGAAATTCCCCATGAAAACTAGTATCTGAAGTATAGTGTGTGTATATCCAAGAATTTCAATTCTACTTCTAGTTAATGTTAAATTATGGGGAAAATTATACCTGGAAAATGTGGTTGAGAGAGTAGAATTGATATTGCTCTGTTGCTCTTGCTATCTGATCACCTTACCGATATCACCAATATTTCTTGTTTCACACTGTTCTTGAGGCAGGAGATCATACATACACTAATTCCCATAAATAGTCATTAGAAATTATTCAGGCTAGATTTTCAGCATATCTTTAGTTGCATTATCGAAGTGAATATCTAGAATTTGCTTTTATGAACTCTATAGAGGAAATCCATTACAGAAGGTGACATCAATTCTATATTTCCAAATTTTCTAACAGGGCATAGAACCAGTGCCAGCATCATGCAAAATTAAACAAAAGTATTCTTCTCTTCTTACAGGTTCACTAGGAACTGCTGGTCGTGTATGCAACAAGGTATCACGTGGGACTGATGGATGTGAAGTCATGTGCTGTGGCAGAGGTTATGATACCACTCAAGTAACTCGAGTCACTAAATGCGAGTGCAAATTCCATTGGTGTTGCGCTGTTCGCTGCAAGGAATGTGAAGACACTGTAGATATTCACACATGTAAAGCACCGAAGCGGGCAGAATGGATTGACCAAACCTGAAAGTGTGCTGGACAGATCCAGAAAAGGAAAGTAAACCTGGCACTGTGCCACCTGTGGGCCTGGGAATTCTGGGAGTTGTAGTTCAACTGCATGGCATTTATTTAACTCATTGTGAAAAACAAAGAGAAGACTATATTTCCCAAGGGGTATTAGTGGGCTCCTTTGCTCACCAAGCAGAATTTCATTCCCCTACTTTTTAAAAAACAAATTGGCAAATGACATTGAACTCTGCAGCTTTCTATCTTTGGTATTACTGTCCAGAGATGGGAGAATGCACTTGCTGATAAACACAGGACACTAAGAATCAGGCTGTGATTTAGGTGCCTCATTCTGAAAAAGTTTGGGCAGTAGACTATAAATAACATATGCACCCAAAAGTAGGAGAAAACAACAACAATTATTCTGTCCAACCTGGAAGAAAGCACACACTGTTTCCCATAGAAAAGTGGCTACCCAATCTTAAGAAAGCACAATGGTTTACTCAGATCTTCTTTCAGAGGTCACCATGCCTGCACTATGGACATCAGCTGAAAAAGAGCAATTTGTGTAAAGGGACTTTCATTATATTCCCTCTTCAACTGAAATTAAATCATGGAATTATAAAATTGTTTTCAAAAAGAAAATCAATCCTACAGAGAGGACAGAATAAAAAAGATGAAAGAAAGTTGAGAGTATGTGTCTATGTCTGGACATGCTGATAGGTTCTAAAAGAAGCTAATATAACATTTGTTTAAAATAAATTCACTTGTTCGTTATATATGTTGCTTTAAATACTTCAGATAAAACATACAAAACTATATCAGAAAATGCTCTTGGATTTTGTGACTTTCTGCATTCATGATCATTCATGACTAATTGAGTAAGTGATGGACAAGTCTAGTTCTTCATTATTATTTAATCTCTGTAAACTGTGCTTTTTGATCACTGAATCAAAGCAACATTCTTGAGAAATAGGACATCACATCATTATCCACAGTCATTCGTCTCCCAACACAATCCTTGATGCTGTCTCCCCCCCCCCCCCCCCGCTTTTTTATTTTGGCCATGTCTCATTCTGTGGCCACTATTAATATTCCACCCTTTTCCATAGCCTGAAATGCAATGTTTGGGCCTCCACTGAGCTTACCACATACAACCACTCTCATACCCTCAGCTTCCTTCTGCTTCTAGGCCCTTTGGAATGGAACAAGAAAAAGTCAGTCTCTAACATTATTTCCATGTTACTTTGAACATCTCACAAAAGCACATAAAACTCCAAAGATACCCTGATTATAATTGGTCCAACCGGTCCAGAATGCAGCAGCATGCACGGTTTTGGGTGCCCCGTGGTTCACCCGAGTAGCACCACTGCTGCGTGAGCTGCATTGGCTTCCAGTTGCTTTCCAGGTGCAGTTCAAGGTGCTGATTATCACCCTGCATGGCACAGGGCCAGGTTACTTGCAGGACCACCTCTCCCTGAGGATATTTGCCTGTCCTACTAAGTTAGATAGGGTGGACTTGCTCCAGCTCCCCTCCCTTAAATCCTGCCACCTGATGGGACCTTGGAGGTACACCTTCTTGGTAGCTGCCACAGCCCTTTGGAACAATCTCCCACCTGAAATCCAAGGGAACCCTACCCTTTTAGGCTTCCGGAGGGCTGTGAAGACCTGGCTGTTCTCCCAAGCATTGGCATAGGATGGGGATTGAGCTGCAAGGATGTTTGGTCTGGTGCTGGGGGGAAGGGTATCTTTGTTTTTAACTGTGTTTTATGGATTATTGTGAGCCACCTAGAGTCATTGTATGAGATAGGTGGCCATATAAGTCTGTAAATAAATAATAAATAAGATCTAATCTATTATAGGATTTGACTCCATTGGGTCTAGCTACTGACCTAAGTCCAATAGATTTTGATCATTCAGGTGCTACAAGAGTTGCTATCCAGACTCTTCTGCTCATCCAACATGTAGATGAGGGTGTGCATTGGTAAAAATGATACCTTTGGGAATTATTAAAATACTTGGCTATAAAAGTATTTATCAGAGAAAATTAATCCCACTGTCAGTCTTTCCTGAAACATTATTTCAGAACTGAACGGTACTATGTTGACTTTGAATATGTAACAGAATTTCTCAGGAACTTACCATGACTTCTAAATTCATTTAGATTCATCACATTGCTAATTAATTATTTTAAAGCACTATGGCACTCCCATCTCAATTTTATTAGGATGGTACAAACTATTCAGAAAGGCACTTCCTTTCAGTGCCAATCCCATGATTGTACAAATGTCCTGGAAAGGTCCTTCACTGTCCTTCAGCAGTGCCAAATCTCCTTACTTCATCACTTACAGGGATGTCAGAGTTAAAGATTTTGCTACATATTTGCCCAGGCAGGATACAGTAGTGTCACAGTCAAACTCAATGAACCTGTGCATCTCTCTTAAGAAACAAGTTCCAATGGGAATTATTCCTAAGTAAAATGTATACGGCACTATATCTTACCTAAGGTAATAATTTTATGTAGTGTTAATAACCTGTATGGAACATTTGATGGTGCAAAATCCTCAACAATTTGTAGAAGGTTCCAGCCTTAATCTACAGCATTTCGAAGCAGGTCTAGGAAAGGCAAGTGAAACCCTGGTGAGCAACTACCTACAGGTAGTCCCCGGATTAAGAATGCCTGGTTTAAATTAAGAACAGAGTTCTCATACTTAGACCCATAGTCAAGAACAGAGCCTATTGCAACAAAATAAACAATTATTCAAATTAAATACACAATGGTTCAAGTTAATTACACAATACTACTTATACAGTATTATATAATAATACTATTCCAGCTTACATACAAATTTGACTTAAGGACGGACCTTGGGAACAGAACTCATTCTTAAACTGGGGACTACCTGTACTGTGATGAGTCCTGGGTTAGATGGGCCTGTCATCTGGCCAGAGCTAAGACTGTTTTCTATGTATTAATCCCCTGTCTTCAAATGGCTGCTTTTTCTCAGAAGCAGGGGGATTGGAGATAATACCCTTATGGAACCAAAACAATCTAAAATTTAGAGAAACTTTTGTCTCCTGTCTGGGAACAATGTCTAAAATCAACAGTGGATTGACCTTAATGAAAATTATCAGCACTGTTAACTTCTCTGGTGCTCTAGCTGGTAAAGACTCAAATCCTTTGCTTATTTATGGCTCCACATTTTAATCTGAAAAGAAACTTTCCCATCTTCTGGAAGATGTTTTATATATGTATCTTAAGGAGGTGCAAAGGTATAAAACAGAATGACCCTTTGGGGGAATGGCAAACCTTGTACTTTTCAGTGTGCTGCTGCTGCTAATGCAAGTTCTCACTGTTCAAACTGAAAATAACAGGATCATTTGATAAGCTCTTGCCAGCTGAGAAAGATTAAATGGCAACTGTATATAAAGCAGGCTTCCTATAGTCCACTCACACCTTTTAAATCTTTTTTTTTAACAGTTAGGTAAAATGGATCATCATTAGATCATCTCTTATAAAATGGTCTACTGAAAGGCTGCCAAAGCTATTGTGTGTCTGAAAAGGGATGTTCACAAGAACGGAATAGGTCTAAGAAATGTTAAGACTAAATGACACACAGGTTTCCCACTATCTGTTGCAGAAAATAACAGAAGACCTGGGAACATCATTCTTTGCTTCCATAGCAACACGCAGCTCAACTTTGAAAATGTCCCACCTTTGCAAGGTCATAACTCATATTCTTTTATAGCATTGTATTGGCATAGTTTGCTGTTCATCTATGAAAGCTTTGATTATGAGACTGCATCAGGCAATATGAACAAGCTGGAGTTTGGTACAGGAAAAAAGGAGAGAGAGCTTTAATATCAGTCTTGCATTTTTACATTCAAAGGGTTTCTCACATTTATATTCATTCTGAGAAATAGTGCCTTTAAAATTCCATGGCCTATTTTTATCATGTTTTTATTGGAATCTATAATACATTTCTGTTTTCCATAGCTGATATTTCAAAATTGTTCTTCATTTGTCCTGTTTATCTTTGCTTGGCCTACTTAAGCATAATAATATACAGGTATTTCTTTTGAACAGTCTAAAATATTTCATGTACATTATCTCAACCATCTTTACAACCAACCATGTAACATAGGACAGTGTTATTACTTAAGCAGCAGTGCAGAAGCTGAAGCTAAGAGATGGTAGTTAGATTAGCCATTACTTTAAGTTCTGCACCATTAAATGAACAGAAAAAGGATATAAATTATGCTTTCCATTATCATTGTGGGCTCTCCTTCCATGGCCATTACACATTTTTTTAAAGGCAGAATAAGTCTGAGTTAGCATTATTACACCAAAAAGCAATTCTAAATAAAATATTTATGTCAACATTATATATTTAAATTGCAAAAACTAATAAATATGTATCCCATTCTAAATTAATTTTTCTGTCTTCTGTGTTCTCCCTCAGACTTAGTATTTCTGTAACTTTAATAATTTAAGGAACATGCCCTGTTTGATTAATTTGGTGTTTCACAAAATTTACCATGTTTCTATTGCTATTACAAATGTATTACAGTAATCAAATCATGAATTGGGATTAACTTTTCCCCCTCTCGTGTTTCTACCTAAAAATCTTCATGTAATAAAATCAGGATATATTGGTCATTAATGGCAATTAGCCATGAAACCCAGGATGACTATATTCGACCCCTGTCACATGTCTCTAGATACTATTTGCTGAGGAATGTAAGTAGAAAATGGTATTGCATTGTATCCTGCTTATGGATTTAGCCTAAGCATCGCGTTGTCCACTGCTGGACTAACAGCTGTTGATTAATTTTTTTTGTTTAGGGATATCCCTTGCCTCATTTCTTTTCAAATTGTCACCCGGTATTCCTGTGCCTTGAAGTCTCTATCAAAACACACAATGTTGACATTGATATGATTGTATTTCCAATTCTTCTATTTATTGTCCCTACTTATTAGATTAATATGATGAAATGTAATCATACAATTATCTTGTAATAATGCTACATATATTCATACAAACCGGTAGAATTCTCTTTGGCAATGATTTAACAACAACATTTATGACAATTCCAATATCTTTTGTTCTTCTGGTTTAAAATATCCTTGTCTGTTACAGCCAGGAAACAAAATCAAACAATACATTAAGAAAAGTTGCAACAATGCACCAGTTTCTCAAAATCATTTTAAAAAATCTGTCCTTCTGACTGAGATTATATGATTGCTATTAATTGAAACCATGAAAATAAACATTTTCATTCATGATTTCTTGTAGGATTGTATTAATTCTGTTGGGAAAACATAGCCACAATTTTAATTTGTTAAAAATTTATTAAATGATTTGAAATACTTCACTGACAGTCCTTTAAAATTTAGGACTTTTTTGTGATGTTTGTTAATTGTTGATATGGACTATACAAATTCTGAGAAAAATTCAAACATCATCAACTTTTGAAATGTGTCTCATTCCAAGATAATATTCATTCATCTGTTCTATATTTATTGCTAAGTGTAAGCAATAAAGATCAGAGGTTATACTGGCCATAGGAGTTTCTTTTGCTTTCTTTAGC